TTACCATGTTGATTAGTTACCAATGTCCAGAACCTTAGGGGTATGTGTGTTGGTAGAGTGGGGCAGAAAGAAGGGTGTCGGGGCAGTCAAAAACTTAGCAAAAATAATTCCACGTCCTGCAACTCTATTTCAATTTGGCTCGTCTGACGCTTGTTTTGGAGGGGATGAATAATAAAGACAGAGTCAGAAGGAGAGAAAGGTAGATGGTGAGATTAGACGATAGGACTGGATCAGTCTGCTGCTGTGTGACATTAATTTCAGTGAGACAGTTTTCCTTCTCCCCCACTTCATCTCAAATGTTCTCAGAGCCTATTTCCTTTCTAAAGTTTTCATAATGTATAAAGCATGCAATTGACTTATAGCTTTTAAACAAATTGAACCTGTAGGTGAAATACAAATGTACAATGCACTTAAACATTTTTGGGAGGGTGGAGAGAAAGAGAGAGAGAATGAAACACTTTATCACTTTATTCTTCCTTCCTCAGACCAGTCGCCTCCTGTAGCCATGGGAAATCACAGTGCTTTGGTATCTGGAGAGAGGTGAATGCAAAGGCAGGTCTGCAGTTTTTTTTTCTGGTGGGTCTTTCTTCAAGACAACTTTACGGTCTTCTCCATGGCAAAGCCTTTCACTGTGATTCAAAAACAGAGAGTCTTCTAAAGGGCCAGCATGGATCCCACATGCTTCTGCATGCTAAGAGAAAAAAAATCTGCTGTACGTTACACCAAACATCACTTTCTCAAGGTTTACAGCCTGTAGTTCTAGTAAATGAAAAAGATAAAGTCAGTATAATATTGCCACCAGGCTAAAGCTATTTCGGACATTGAAAATGACTTGATAAGCCACTCAATTACATGAAATACAGCCCAATATTCAGATTAAAGAAAGTCTTAATAACTATATAAATTTGATGTTTGTCTGTTAAGTCTTGATTTCCTCAGTTGTATCTTTGTTTTCAAAATATTAGATAAAAATGCATATAAAATAGTCATCTCAGGGCAAATGGCAGCTTCATTTATTACATTGTATGCATACATTTTATAAGAAAATAATTGAACCATATTTTTGTGATATATGTTATATATCATATAATATTCATATTTTGTAATATCTCTGTCTTGGCAAACTATATTGTTATTCAACATTAATTGCTTATCCATTTGAAATTTGCAAATTACTTATACAAACACATTTCTTTCTAGGAATTCTAACTTGAAATCTTCTCCTGTAGTTTAATTATTACAATATATTCTATTCTCCTTTATTTTTTATTTTTTTTGTGAGGAAGATTGGCCCTGAGCTAACATCTGCCAATTCTCCTCTTTTTGTTGCTGAGGAAGACTGGCCCTGGGCTAACATCCATGCCCATCTTCCTCCACTTTATATGGGACACCACCACAGCATGGCTTGACAAGCGGTGCGTCAGTGCATGCCCATCTTCCTCCACTTTATATGGGACACCACCACAGCATGGCTTGACAAGCGGTGCGTCAGTGCACGCCCGGGATCCGAACCGGCGAACCCCAGGCCGCCGCAGCGGAGCGCGCGCACTTAACCCCTTGCGCCACCGGGCCGTCTCCTTCTATTCTCCTTTAAAGAAACAACTTACCTTTTCACAAGTGAATGGTCAATCTGAGTTTGGAAAATGCTTTGAAACTATTGACTGAATAGGAGTGTTGAATGGGCAACGAGTCCTCTCTGTAAATCTAGCCAAACTGTCCCCATAGCTCTCAGTCTGAATATGCAATACAACTTTAAAAATGCATGCCTGGACCGTAGCTTTAATATTAATGGTACTTACATCTGATGAGAATCTCAACAACCGCGAGTTGGCATTATGTGGGGCAAAAAGTAGACATATAGTTCTGAAATCTTTTTTGGTGTATCTATTTTAAGTTTCTAATTGGATTATTTGAATAGATATTGCTATTTAACTTTTGCTTGCAAGTTTATGTGCAAGTGCATGAAATAGTTTTTGTCAGAGAAAAGAATGGTGGTGGGAGAAATGGAAAGATATAGGTCAAAGGGTACAAACTTTCAGTTATAAGAAGAATAAGTTCTAAGGATCTAATGTTCAGCATGGTGACTATAGTTAATAATATGGTATTATATACTTGAAAGTTGCTGAGAGTAGATCTAAGAATTCTCACCACAAAGAAAAGAAAGTTAACTACATGAAGTGATGAATGTGTTAATTATCTTGATCTTGGGAATCATTCCACAATGTATGTCACATTATCACATTGTACACTTTAAATACATACAATGATAATTGTCTATTATTCCTCAATAAAGCTGGAAAAAATAAAAAATAATTTTAAAAATAGCTTTTGTATAGTTACATATGTCTATTCAGAGATACATTAAATAATGTAGGCTTTTTATTATGAATGTTCACAGGAAAATACCTTCAGATTCACATTCCTGAATTTCATGTTTTCTTTCCAAGGCATAACATAATGTCTTGGGATCATCCCTTGCTTTAATGAAAACCGTGGCAAATGAACCTCATTATACCTGAACATTAAGAAAAGAAGAAGGGTATCTTGTGAGTTACATACAATAATTTTAGCATCACCTAGGGAAGGGAGGCAGTTGTGTTCACAATGTTCGGACCCCAGCAGCTGCAGGACACAGTGCCGTGCTATTGTTTGAGGCTCACTTAATAGATAATCAACCCATTAAATCCCCAAGAGTCTGGACTTGGTGCCTGTACCTCCAACTGCATACTGTCCTTTACAATTTGTTCCCGATGTTCATTTGAACTTGATTTTAGGGGAGAAGGCAGCACACCATGATTTCCTCAGGCCTACTCATTGCCCAAAGGAATCTCCAGCCAATCACAAAAAACAGTAACTAATTTAGCTTCTGAATTCAGTATGTGCTCTACACTCAGGTCAAACTTGCTTTCCCTGCACACAAAGCTTTCTATATAAATGCCAAGGGGAAGCACAAAGTTATTGTCCTCATCTGCATAGCTCCTGGATTGCAAACCCCACCCCCCCAAAACCCAGAACCCTAAGTCCTCACTTATCAGCAGGCTTATATGAATTCTCATCAGAACGGTTGTTGACAAGTTTAGGTAAGACAGGACAAGTGTCTTTTCCTGAAGCCATCACTGCCAGTAGTGACCGGAATTCTCATTTAGAACGCCACTAAGTCACTAGTCTAATTATGATGACATAGCTGCCTCAGATGTAACAATGTTTTGCTAACTTCATAGCAACCTATAGCAGTTATATTAGCAGTTGATTTCAAGAGTGCAGAGATTAGAGCTATTTTCAGTGTTGTTTTTAATACCCCTTCTTGAGTAAAACATCATCATTCATTTTTGTGTGTGTGTGTGAGGAAGATCAGCCCTGAGCTAACATCTGATGCCAATCCTCCTTTTTTGCTGAGGAAGATTGGCCCTGAGCTAACATCCGTGCCCATCTTCCTCTACTTCATATGGGACGCCACCACAGCATGGCCTGACTAGTGCTGCGCCAGTGCGCACCTGGGATCCAAACCTGCGAACCCTGGGCCGCCAGAGTGGAGCGCGTGCACTTAGCTGCTGCACCACTGGGCTGGCCCCAAACATCATCATTCTTATCATGAACAATTAAAAAATGAGGCTGCTTGCAGGCTTTGACATAGAAAATATATTGGGGCCGGCCCCGTGGCTTAGCAATTAAGTGTGCGCGCTCTGCTGCTGGCCGCCCGGGTTCGGATCCCGGGCGCGCACCGACACACCGCTTCTCTGGCCATGCCAAGGCCGCGTCCCACATACAGCAACATACAGAAGGATGTGCAGCTATGACATACAACTGTCTACTGGGGCTTTGGGGGAAAATAAATAAATAAATATTTAAAAATATATATATTGGATTAAACAATTATCGTTCACAAATAACTACTTCATATTAAGATTCTGTATTTGCCCTTAGCTGATTTCCCTCTATATATTGCCCATGGTTGATGTGTCCCATTTATGCTTCACCAACTATTTAGACACACACTTGAGTATAAATCAAATTTGCTTAAACCCAAAGCAATTCAACCCATTTATCCCCTAAGATTTGAGTTATATTGCAGAAGATTTTAGATTACAAAAATTCATTTTAATAAAGGTTATGAGTGAGGATGAGCACCTGAACTACTAGGGTAGAGAGGTGGAGGGGTATTGTTAATCTTACTAGCCAGCAAGTAGGAAAAAGGTTAGGGTGAGCAGAAATTACTGCAAGATATACTGGTTTGGTGCGAGTATTAACTGAATACAACAGTTTGGATAGGCATTCCTAGATTTGGATAGCCAGAAAGGTTTAGAAAAGTGATTTTTTTGTCGTTGTCGGTGAGGAGGATCAGCCCTCAGCTAACATCATTGCCAATCTTGCGCTTTTTGCTTGAGGAAGATCATCCCTGAGCTAACATCTGTGCCAATCTTCCTCTATTTTGTATATGGGATGCCGCCACAGCACAGCTTGATGAGTGGTGCATAGGTCCACGCCCGGGATCTGAACCCATGAACCCCAGGCCACCAAAGCAGAGTGCGCAAACTTAACCACTATGCCACGGGGCTGGCCCCAGAGAAGAGTAATTTTAATAGCCAAAATTTTAAAGAACTTTAAAAACTGAAGTGTTGGTTTCTATACACAACATTAGGGTTCAATACAAACCAGAAATCTGTGTGGTTTCCAAATGTTAAGGAAACTATTTATGAAAATGAACCAGGAAGGTACAGGGGTAGAGCAATCCATTTAATGAAGATAAAGTAGCCTCAGGCATTAATGCCCTTCAAAAACCATAATTTCACTAGAGAAATAAGCAGTATTTACATGAATATGTGGCATTCAGATTTCTAAATGTTGATTATCTTTCTAATGTACTATACCTTTAACATCACCTTTCATAAATAATTTCAGGAACAATATCCAGTTATCTATTTAAAAATTTTTTTTTCCTTGGTTACAGCAATTTTATGAAATATTTGAGATTAAAAGAAAGTCACTTGAAACTCATTAAGGACTGCCAAAACTCTAATTTTATTTTTGCATTCTTTATGAATAAAAAGCAACCAATAACCATTTTCCTCTTCTTTTCCCACTTAGATCCAACTTCAATGCCATTTCAGGAACTACTGAAAGATTTCAAGCACATTGTCTGCAAAGAATAGTTTATAATTGCTTCCTACATATTTTTTCTTAATCTATTTTATAAACTACAGTCAACTCTTGGAACATCTTAAGTAAACTACTTTTATTTCCTTCAATAAAAATGCATAATTTAAAACTTCATGCACATGTGACATTTTTAATACCTAACGTCCTTAACATAGGGTAAGACAGTCTTAGGCAGGCCTTCACTGGGAACTTTTTAAATGTCCATGGTAATTACAAAGGTATGGATCACACTCAGTATTTAGTATATGACCAAGTTAATTAATAAGAAGTCAAAAACAAAGTTAAAGTTAAGAAGCAATGCTTCTTTGAAAATCTTCTGATGTTTATTTACTTCTGGACATAAGTGGGAAAAGCCATCAGTATAACCCTATTTTAAAACTGCCTAAGAGTTCTTAGAGCACAGAAAACCTAAATTTGAATGCATTTGTAATAGCTTAACAATTTATCTATCTTATTAGGATCTTTTAATGGAATGTTTTGAAACCAATCATAATTCACTGCAAAGATAAATCAGAAAAAGAAAACAGACTTTTGAATGGCATGTTATAATGACCTGGACAAAAGTGATTATCAACTAGTAATAATTAGCACATGCAACAGATTGAGAAACTAAATCCTCCACTATGTACTTTTCACTATTTTATGAGACATAAGATTTTTACACGTTTGTATCAATTGCATTCATCTCCCCACATATTCAATTTTATTTAAAACAAGAAAACAGTTCTTTCTCTCCAGATTTTCATGTTTATCAGTGCAAAGTAAAATGAAGCAATCTCAGTAGAAATGGTTTATCACAATGTTATTTTAGAAAGCCTTATTCCTCAAAATGTACTAAAAGATGTCCAAATCGTGTGAATGATCAACCTCAATGGCTTCCTCTGCATCCAACTTTGTTTCTCCATGTCCTTCCTGTGATTCATCAAGAGAGGCCAGGGCCTCATTTGTGTCACTTGCAAAAGTTTCTCGTGATGTATCATCTTCTTCTTGAAAATTTAGACTTTTAATAGCTTGTTTCATCTTTTTCCCCAACACCTGTGTTCTCCTCTTCCTAGCAGCTTTTTTATTTTCATATTCCTTTTGATTTTCAAGGTAGAAAATGTCCTACAATAAAGGAACAACTTTAGTAAATAAGAACAATCATTTATTAGAAGTTTGTTACAAGTTACTACAAGTTTGTTTCTTTATATTCCACTTCTCACCAAAACCAAGCAAATATTATTAGACTTAGAGTCTAAGATACTAATTAAGTCCCCACTGCAAGTAGCAGATGAAGCTATGATTCAAACTCAACCTACTGTTAGGTCTAGGGCCCACGGTATTCTACCATAACACATCTCTGTAGTTAAAGGTTTTCTGAATGGAAGGATACAGTAGGAAAATCATGTTGTTTAGGATTTAAATAAAATATAATTTATCATGATAAAACAGAAGTCTTTGGAATAAAGATTTACTAACTTTGAAATGTCATCATAATCATAGGTGATTGCCCATGCTGAGAAAGTGAATTGTGTGACTAAGTATGATCACGTAACTGATAACAATGCAAGAAAAATTCCATTCCTTAAAAAACATTACTGTAATCAATGTGTGAGAATGTAAATCTTTTTCAAAAACTTTTATCACATGGCATAAAAATAATATAGTCAGCACTGGGATACATTCCAGAATGCCTGAAATGGGATTTTATAGCATGAAAATATGAGAGTCTTCTAGACACGGTTTCCCAACCTTGGCACTACTGAAATTTCCAGCTATATAATTCTTTGTTGAGCCAGTCTGCTGTGTGCATTGTAGGGGATGTTTAGCAGCACACCTGGCCTCTACCCACTAACACATACCCACCCACCCCAAATTGTGAAAACCAAAAATATCTCCAGACATTGTCAAATACACTCTGAGAGGCAAAATCGCCAGCAGTTGAGAACTGTTCAACTAGAAAATACATTCCATTAAAATATTACACAGAAAAATATAAAATAACACCTGGGAACCCTGATACAGAGAGATTAAGTATAGTTTCAGAGGGTAGAAAAGAAAGGAAAGTAGGGTAGGGACCTAAAGAGAAGGCCAAATGACCATGCTAAGGCAGAGAAGGTTCAAAGGTTTAAAATAAAAGCTAGAGGGCCGGCCTGGCGGCATAGTGGTTAAGTTTGTGCGTTTCACTTTGGCAGCCGGGGGTTTGCAGGCTTGGATGCCGGGCACGGACCTATGCACTGCTTATCAAGCCATGCTGTGGCAGGCGTCCCACATATAAAGTAGAGGAAATGGGCACGGATATTAGCTCAAGGCCAATCTTCCTCAGCAAAAAGAGGAGGATTAGCAACAGATGTCAGCTCAGGGCTAATCTTCCTCACACACAAAAAATAAAAAACAAAAAATAAAACAGAAGCTAGCATAGGCAGGACACACTTCTGACACCCTATTCTCTTCTGGGAAGGGACTCTTAAAAGCTGTAGCTAAGCCAGTACCTAGTATACTCTTAAAGTGCACAAAGTACAAATCTCTTGTTTATAAAAAGCATTATGGAGGACGGTGAGATGCAAGAGGCCCTCTCTTTCTAAAATTTATGCTAAATAGTCATAAGCAGCACACAAAATTGGCAGAGGAAGGAGTAAGGAGCCCTGAAATTAAGGGAATAAGGGACAGCTTCAGAAGATGTGCTTTGATGAAGAAGAGGAATAAAAGTATTTGCTACAGAAATAAGGAGGGATTGGGGGTGGAAGAGGGTACATATGTGAGAATAAAGTGCAAGAAGGACAAAAAAGGTGAATGCAGAGGAAAATGAGGCTACCTACCATTTACTGAATGAGCACTTATACGCCAGGCATTATGCTGAGAACTTCACACACATGTTAACTCTTTTCAATGTCAGAAGAACCTTATGAGGTAGGTATATTACCCTTGTTTTCACATGAGGAAAGTGAGGCACAAGATTACAGAGCTAACATGCGAAGGTATGAAATCTAAACTTATACATGATTTCTCCAAATCCATATTCTTAAACCCTATTATGTTGCCTTCACAAAAGTGTAATAATTCACATTTTTTTCAAGAGTCTACTTACCTTCAAGTGGAGAGATAAAAAAAGCTATAAGTAGAAGTATTTTCATTTTATATGGAAGCACATCCAAATATCTTGATAAAAACAATTCTAAGAAGTGAAATGCTTGGCAACACTAAGTAAAATTATGAGTTCTCCTTTTCCCACCAAATATGGCAAGCCTCATTAAAAAGGAACATCATTTCCATGGGTTATAAATTTAAATAGAAAAAATTGGGGAATGGCCCAAAGAAATGTTGTTGTAGCCTATTGTTAATGTTTTTACAACAAATGTGGACAACAGATAACTGGAGAGCAATTTTATTTCCCCATCTGTCTTTCTATATAATTAACTCTACAAGTTAAGAACTGAACTGTATACTATTTGCAGAGGAAGACCATTATAGCTGAGCTTTTTAAAAACACATGGCAGGGGCCGGCCCCGTGGCTTAGCGGTTGGGTGCGTGTGCTCTGCTGCTGGCAGCCTGGGTTCGGATCCTAGGCATGCACCAACGCACTGCTTGCCCGGCCATGCTGAGGCAGCGTCCCACATAGAGCAACTAGAAGGATGTGCAACTATGACATACAACTATTGACTGGGGCCTTGGGGAGAAAAAGGGAAAAAAAGGAGGAGGATTGGCAATGGATGTTAGCTCAGGGCTGGTCTTCCTCAGCAAAGAGAGGAGGATTGGCATGGATGTTAGCTCAGGGCTGATCTTCCTCACCAAAAAAAAAAAGCAAACTGAGTGATGTCGACATCATAGCACAGTGAGCTGTGCCCTTTGTTTCGCCCCTCTAAGTGACAACCAATAGGACACCCACTGACCAACACAGGCTTCCCTACACAGCTCAATAGGCACATAAGAGATCCACGCATCTATACAACCGAAGGTTGGAGTAATGGACTGCTGCAAGGTAGCGGAACTAGGGTAGCAGCCCCTTCTCCCTCCCGTGGCAGCAGTGATCCAGGGCGTGGATCCTCATGCTGACAGGCACACCTGCTAGCGGTTGCTGCAGGAACAAAAACAGCAGGAGCCACAGTTTGCGCCGCTGCAAGCGTAGTGGAGACAGCAGGCACCACAGCTCACACGGCTGCAAGGGGACATGGTGGGAGCAGAAAAAACAGGTACAGCTTGCTCCTTGCCCATCTCCCAGCAAATCCAGTGTGCACACAGCCTCCCCCTCCCTTGGCAGTGCCCAGGTCTTTCCAACAGTAGGGACAATATACAAAACTTGGATTTTCCTGGCCGAGGTGGGGCACCCTGACCTGAGTTTTCAAAACACACCAGCTAGTGCCAGAGACCAGAGGCAGCAGAGTGAGCAGTAACAACAACCTCTCTCTGCTTAGCCCCTGCCTCCCCAAGCCCCTAGTGGTGTCAGGGGAACCTGCGACCAGAGGCTTCAGGAACCACAGCAGAACCGATGACCCAGCCCCCAGTGATGGCACCTCTGATGGTGGCTCCACCAGCATCATCTAAGGGGGCTGCATATAAGTCCCTGAGTTCCTGGGCCCCCAGCAGCGACAGTTACACCTGTGAACCCAGCACCCCTGACAGCAGTGCAACCAGCACCCCCAGACAACCCAGGAGCAACAGCACAAGTGGTGCATGGGGCAGCAGTATGCAAACAGTGGAAAGCCCATGGAGAACCAGTGGAGGAACACGAGACCCAGGTGACCCCAGAAGCAGCAGAAGTGCTCGCAGCCTGGTGACCCTGGTGGTGACATGTGAGACTGCAGCGACATTATAGGCAAGGCACCAGCAACCTCAGAGGCACAAGCGATAAAAGGAGGGCACTGACAATGCCTCTAGCTGAGGCAGTGGAGGGTGGAAAGTGCAGGCTCTCAAATACAACCAGAAGCAGCTCAGAACCAAAGTAACCAAAGCCATACCCAAATAAGAAAGGTGTCTGCTTTCACAAACATGCTGGCAGAGGATCAATTCAACTTCAGAATACTGAAGTTCATGAAGAACTTCAGTAACATGGCAGAAAAGAAAGAGAATGAGAGCTCTCCAAAAACCAAACTTGAAGTCAAAGAAGATTGCAATCTACCTGACACAGAATTCAAAATAGCTGTTGTATAGAAACTCAGTGAGTTACAAGAAAACTCAGAAAGACAGTTCAATGCGGAACTGTCAGGAATAAAATTAAGATGGAATGAACAGAAGTACTTCACCAAAGAGATTGAAACTCTAAAAACAAAAAACCAAACAAATTCTAGAGATGAAGAACACAATTAATGAGATGAAAAATAATGCAGAAAGCATTAAAAACATAGCAGACCACATGGAGGAGAGAATTAGTGAGCTCAAAGATAGAAACCTAGAAATGATTAAGGTGGAGGCAGAGAGAGAACTAAGATTTTTAAAAAAATGAAAAAATTCTTCGAGAAATATCCAACTCAGTTAGGAAAAGTAACATAAAGATTATAGGTATCCCAGAAGGAGAAGAGAGGGAGAAAGAAGCAAAGAGCTTATTTAAAGAAATAATAGCTAAAAACTTCCCAAACCTGGGGAAGGAACTGGACAAGGAAGTACATGAAGCTAATAGAATTCCTAATTACCTCAATGCACAAAGACCTTCTCCAAGGCATACAATATTAAAACTATCAAAAGTCAATGACAAAGAAAAATATTAAGGGTAGCAAGAGAGAAGAAAATAACCTACAAAGGAACCCCCATCAGGCTTTCAGTGATTTCTCAGCAGAAATCCTACAGTGAGAGTGGCTAGAGGAGAGAGGCTACAGGAGAGTGGAATGATACATTCAAAATACTGAAAGAGAAAAACTATCAGCCAAGAATACTCTATCCAGCAAAATTATCCTTCCGATATGACAGAGAAATAAAAGCTTTCCCAGACAAACAAAAGCTGAGAGAGTTCACTGCCACTAGACCTGCCTTACAAGAAATGTTGAAAGGAGCTCTCCTACCTGAAACGAAAAGGCAAAGGTCTCCTAAGTTTTGAGCAAGGAGATAAATAGAATCAGAAAATTGCAGCTCTATAGCAGAACAGGTTAGTAAACATTTAATTATAACATAAAGGATAAAGGGAAAGAAAGAGTCAAAAATAACTACAACCACTTCAATTTGGTCACAAACTCACAACACAAAAAAGAATACTTTATGACAACAAAAACATAGAAGGGGAAGAGGAAAGGGATGGAACCTGCATAGGCTAATGGAGATAAGAGGCCATCAAAAAAAGGACTATCTCATCTATGAGATCTTGTATACAAACCTCACGGTAACCACAAAACACAATCAGAGCAGAGTCACAAATCATAAAATATAGCAAATTAACTTTTAACTATTCTTACTTTTTTATTCACAAATTTTATATTTTCTTTCTTTTTTTTTTTGTGAGGAGATCAGCCCTGTGCTAACATCTGCAAGTCTTCCTCTTTGTTTGCTGAGGAAGACTGGCCCTGGGCTAACATCCGTGCCCATCTTCCTCCACTTTATATGGGACGCCGCCACAGCATGGCCCACCAAGCAGTGCGTCAGTGCGCGCCCAGGATCTGAACCAGTGAACCCCAGGACGCCACAGCGGAGCGCAGGCACTTAACCACTTGCACCACTGGGCTGGCCCCGACAAACCTTATATTTTCTAAAACAAAACTTAAATAATTACAAAGTCACACACCAAAACAAAATCAAATGTAAAAAAGGGAAACAAGCCCACTCAGTTCAGTTCTGGCTTCCAAGTTCTACAGACTGTGACTGTTGGCAATATAGCGATTAAAATAATAACTATAACATCATCATTTGGATGGCATATAAAATTACCTATAATAAAATTCTGTTTGCCTTCAGGTTTTTTCCTCTAATAACAAAGGTACTCAATCCATGCACATGTAGGAAACTTGGAAAAACACAGAAAAATCTTAACAGCCAAAACATTTATAATCTCTCACAATAGACCAAATCACTGGTAACATTTTGGTGTTTTACATACCAATCTATTGTCTCACTCCTTTTTCTTTATAAATTTGTACTTTGCCTTAAAAAAAATTCATTATTATTGCATTTTCTCATTTTCTTAAAATTGCTTTACAAAAATAGAGGCTACAAGATAGTCCTTTTAAGAATGTCCCCATAGGGGCCAGCCCCGTGGCTTAGCGGTTAAGTGCGCATGCTCTGCTACTGGTGGCCCGGGTTCGGATCCCGGGCACACACCGCCGCACGGCCTCTCCGGCCATGCTGAAGCCGTGTCCCACATACAGCAACTAGAAGGATGTGCAACTATGACATACAACTATCTAATGGGGCTTTGGGGGGCCGGAAAAGGAGGAGGATTGGCAATAGACGTTAGCTCAGAGCCAGTCTTCCTCAGCAAAAAAGAGGAGGATTAGCACGGATGTTAGCTCAGGGCTGATCTTCCTCACAAAAAAAAAATAAATAAATAAAAATTAGAAAAAGAAAAAAAGAATGTCCCCATAAGTCAATATTCTCCCATTATTAGATATTCCAAATGTTTCTATTGTTTGTTATAATGCAATGTTTCTGGTAGTTTAACATAAAAACCAATGAACATTAAAATCCCCTTTTCCACAATGCGTTAGGAGAGTGGAATTTCAAGACGTGATTCAGTGAAAACAACATGGGTTTTAAGTCAGCATTCTGTGTAATCCCAGGCATATCACTTTTATTACTCTTCATTTGTATAACAGGGTAACACCCACTTTGATAGACTGTGGTGAAGACTAAGTCATAGAAATATTTGGCCTAGTGCCAGGCACACAGTGAATGAATGTTATTTTCTCCTCTCCTGCTTCTGGAAATTGTTTGTCCAAGGTTTTATTACTTACAAAAAGCTTTTCTAGATATTACTTTATTTAATCCCTTTATAGCTCTACTAAATAAGCAAGGCACATATTAAAGTCTCCACTTCATAGATGAAAAAACTGAGGCTGAGGGAGAGTAAGTGATCTGCTCAGTCATATGATCACCAAATGGCAAAAATATTAAAACCCAGATTTTGATTAGAATTCTTTTCATCATATCATGTCATTTCTCTGAAAAGAGTGACATTTTGCTATCAAACAAAAACTCATGAAGAATGTTCCTTCTAAGTACACACTTTTGTCAGGGGTTATACTGGGGAAGGAGGAGGAATATTAAGGTATAAACTCTGTTCTACCACTCAATAGTTGTGTTCCTAAGGAAATTTACATTGTTACAAATTTATGTTATCAAAATAATTGTTCCAATGAGGGAAAAAAAAGAAGTTATGAACTAGAGATTTCAAATGTGCAGTTACAGTTATTACATTTCCTGTAGGAATTTCAATAACAGATTTTAAAAACATGACTGGAGGGGCCAGCCCGGTGGTGCAAGCGGTTGGGTGCGCACGCTCCACTGCAGCGGCCTGGGGTTCACCGGTTTGGATCCCGGGCGCGCATCGATGCACCACTTGTTAAGCCATGTTGTGGTGGTGTCCCATATAAAGTAGAGGAAGATGGGCACAGATGTTAGCCCAGGGCTAGTCTTCCTCAGCAAAAAAGAGGAGGATTGGCATTGGATGTTAGCTCAGGGCTGGTCTTCCTCACAAAAAGAAAAAAAAAAAAACATGACTGGAAGTGCATAGCCAGAAAACTTAAGGCAAAAGAAACATTGAGCTGATGCAAAATATGATCACATAGAGCACCAGCTCAAGAGAAATGGCTTTATTTATCTGTCATCATTAGCATTATAATTAGCATAGCAAAAACACATTCCTATTACCTTTATTCCCCACTGTTATACTAAAGAGAGTACAAAGCTTCTCACGTAGAGCAGCTGTGTTGCACGTGCATCACCTCTTTCCTATGCAAGAAGCTAGTTCTCAATCTTGATTATATCTGCTAAATGCAAATCATGTTCCTTAACTAACAAATTAAAACATATCAATGTTGAATGTGAAAATCCACTGTAGAAAAGTTCCCATATAAGATACCCTAGTAACACAAAAATGATTAAGAATACCAACAAGCCTAGCTTCTAGTTTATAAGAAATATCAGAGGGGTCAGCCCCAGTGGCATAGTGGTTAAGTTCACGTGCTCCGCTTCAGTTGCAGGGCATTCGCAGGGTCGGATCCCAGGCATGGACCTACGCACCACTGATCAAGCCATGCTGTGGTGGCAGCCCATATACAAAAAAATAGAGGAAGATGGGCACAGATGTTAGCTCAGGGCCAATCTTCCTCGCAAAAAAAAAAAAAAAAAAAAAGGAAAAGAAATATTAGAGATAGAGGAATGAACGAAACAAATTCTTGAGAAGACAATCACCAGACTGTGGTACATTCTATAAGATAACCATCAGGGGGCTGGCCCGGTGGTGTAGCGGTTAAGTTCCTGTGCACCGCTTTGGCGGCCCGGGGATCACAGGTTCAAATCTGGGTGTGGACCAATGCACCACTCATCAAGCCAGGTGTGGCAGTGTCCCAGATACAAAACAGAGAAGACTGGCAACAGATGTTAGCTGAGAGCCAATCTTCCTCATTAAAAAAAAAAAAAAGATAACCATCTTGGACTCTTGAAAAGGCCCAAATCATGTAGAAAAATGTAGGATTAAAAAGACCAAAAGAGATATAACAAATGAAATGTGGAAATCTAGATAGGATCCTGGTTTGGGGGAGAAAAAAGGTATAAAACACATTCTTGGGACAATTCAGGAAATTAGAATAAGGTCTAGATATTGGATACTATGAAAATGTCTTTATTTCTCTTAGGTGTACCTATGTACCATATTGTCATTATTGGGAGATCCTTGTTGAAATAATTAGGGCTGAGTGTCATTATGTTTGCCACTTATTTCCAAATGGTACAGAAAAAAAATTGTATAGGCAAAGCAGGAATGTCAAAATATTAACCAACCCTGCATCTAGGTGTAGGACATATGGGTATTCATTCTACTATTCTTTCATCTCTTCCACATGTTTGAAATTTTTCATTACCAAAAAGTTGTAGGAAGGCAGAAAAAATAATTACATGCTCAGAGACTAGGAAAAACTGCCATAAAAGAAATCTTGATCTTGGCTCTGAAAGGGAAGAAAAAGAGGAGGCAGAGCTTCACAAAAGGCCAAGTTTTACTTGAAATCAGACAATGACAAAATTGGTCAATCCAAGGCAGAGCAGGTGATAGAGATTAACAGAAAATGAAGCTAGAGGATGAGTGCAAGCCAAATTATGATGGATCTTAAAGTCAAAGACATTATCATTTTTACCTTAATTTGTTCCTCGCTGATACTAGGAGTGTTTTTCAGAAGATTCAGAAAAACTCCACCCGGTGTTCTTCTTCGACTACCATTCTACAAAAAGGAACAGAGAAATTATACTGTATAGACTCTTCCCATAAATGGTCCAAGTATCTTTTAAACAGAGAAGTGCCTAAGGAGATAATAAGGTCTACCCTGACAACTCTAGTTTAACTGCAATGTCCTCCTCTCCCCTCCTCTCTATTCTTCCATTTGATCTATTTCTTTCCCCAAAGCATGTATCACTTTCTAACATACTTGAAAATATTATATTTATTCTTTATAGACTATCTCCCTCCCACCTCCAACTACAACGTAAGCTTTCTTGTCTAGAACAGTGCCTGGCACAGAGCTATAAATAAGTGTACAAGGAAAGAATGCATCAAAAGAAAGTGAATTTGGACTTGCATCTTTCCAACATTCAGATTTGCATTAGCTCTCTGGAATATAAAGTTTTATTACTGTGGTATTAAAATATTGATGAATCTGTAACTTTGTGCTGAACTAAAAGAAAATCAAAGCACCTTAACAGTGACACAAACAAGGGTGCCAGTACCTTCATGATTATTATAATTTGTTTTCTTGTTAACTTCTGTTTTGACTTCTGTAATCTACGTTCACAGGCTGTTTCCTCAGCCAGTGCTATCAATTTTAACTGGTTTCTTTTCTCTCCATTTCTACAGCATAATATTGATTTACTCTCTTGTGATGTTACCATTCAGATTCAGGAGGAGCAAATAAGAAGGAAGTCCTTCAAACTTCATCCTCATCCTGTGGGGAAAGCTGGATTAAATGAGATCTGCAAACCAACTTTACGAAATCAACTGCCACTGCCTGCGATCTGGCCCTAGCCAAAGAAGGACTCTTTCTGCCATTCTCAAACAGTAAAGGGTTTCTCAACCTTTTTGTGTTCATTATTGCTTCCCTTACTCCAGGAGCCTTTTTAGACAATTTTTCTCCTATTCACCCCCACCACCCATGAAATTTTAATACTCAAAGATATACTGTATATCTACCTGTGCTTTACAGATAACAAGATTTTTTTTTTGCCCCCAAGAACCAACTGTCAAGAATGCATGAATCAAACAAACCACTGCTAAGTGCTGGGCACTGTGGTAAGTACTTCATGTGCATCATCTCAACTAATCCTTATGACATAGGATTAATCCCCATTTTACAGTTAGGAGGCTGAGGCTCCAAGAAGTCAAATAATTCAGCCAAATCTCACACCTAATAAGCTGTAGACTCAGAATTCAAAACAAGGCTCTCCAAACTCCAAAACCCACCTTCTCAAATCTGAGCTTCCAGGATCCCCCTAGACTCTTTTCTTAAAACTTCAGCCCCTACCCTTAACGAATCCTATAAGAAGTGTGTTGTTGACTGTACATAACAGGCTACAATTTATGTATGTTTTTTTGTAAGGAAAGGATTAATTGCAAAAATCATACTGAATTTTTTTCTTCAGTCTTCATTGTTAATGAAGTTTTTAAAAATCTGAAACACACTGAAATAATTTATGATAAATAAGATATCCAACAGAGACAAGTTTGTTTTGTAAAACTCACATGAAACAATACAAAACAGGAAATAACAGAGCAATTAGTCTTACCATTATAAAAAGGCCACCGTTTTGTTCAACTTCAGCAGTTTCCATCAAAAGTTCAATCGCCTTTTTGTTCCCAATTATCCTCACTACTCGGGCTATCAGATCTTTCTTTGGTTCCTGCAACCTGATACGGAACAAATAAAGTAATATTAACCACTTCATTTCTTGTATAAAGTTGAAGAAATCTACCTTAGTTTCCAGTTTAGTCCCTAACTAGAAGCAAAATCCTATTCTAACAACATCTTCTTTTTGAATTTTTTTTTTTGTGTGAGGAAGATCAGCCTTGAGCTAACATCCATGCCAATCCTCCTTTTTTTTTTGCTGAGGAAGACTGGCCCTGAGCTAACATCTGTGCCTATCTTCCTCCACTTTATATGGGACGCCGCCACAGCATGGCCTGACAAGCGGTGCATCAGTACGTGCCCAGGATCTGAACCTGGGCCACCAGCAGCGGAGTGTGAGCACTTAACCGCTATGCCACAGGGTCGGCCCCCTGATATCTTTAATATTTAACCTTGAAATCACTGACATGGAAACATTCCTATCTCGGATCCACCAAGCAGACAGTAACCTCAAGGTTCCATCTCCAGTCTCATAACTGGCCTCTTCACTTTGCCTTACTGGATTATGTCAGATTTCAAAATAAATGTGCACATACAGCAAGGGGAACGCAAGCATAAAAGCAAAAGGAGATAAAAGCAGTCCACTCCTGTTAACAAACATATACCCTGCTTTCAATTACTATGCCATAAAGTTAGCTCTCCTAACTCCAGAGATGTCTGGGAGCTTTAAAATGGATAGGATCTTTCCCTCACAGACTCCCTGCCTCAGAACAAAGGATATAGCTAATGTTTACTGACAGCTTATTATGGGAAAAGCACAATCCTAAGAACTTTATATGCATTATCTCAGTTAATTCTCTCAACAACCTTATGAAGTAGGTTCTATTATTTTCGTTTCACCATTGAGAGGTAAAAACACAGGCAGCCTAAGTAACACTTCTAACATCAGAGCCTACACTCCACAAAGATGAAGGAGGATTAATATTGCAGAAGTCTTACCAGTTCCCTAACCAGACCTGGTTTCCTCTGTTTCTTCTCAACAGAAGGCAGTGCATTACCGTGGAAAGAGCACTAGACTAGGAACAAAGGGACCAGAGTTTAGTTCCAGGTCTGACACTTAAATTTGTGACCTTGGGAAAGCCACCTAACTACTGGGCCTCAGTTTCCTTATCTGTAAAGTGAAGGCTTTGGTTTACAAAATCTCTAAGTTCCTTTCCAGCACTCAAATTCCAAACTTGCTCAGTATTTTAAAAATCCAGTACTAGTGTTGACAGGCTTGCCTGGAAAGTAAATACTAGTTTTCCTACCAGCTATATCGCTCTTGAATCGTATCTGTTTTCAAATTTGTAACACTGTTCATCAGTGATTTAGAGCTAATGACAAGTTAAACAAAATTTGAACTTGTTAAAAATACACGAAATATGGGCCGGCCCCGTGGCTTGGTGGTTAAGTGTGCGCGCTCCACTGCTGGCGACCCGAGTTCGGATCCCGGGCTCCCACCGGCGCGCTGCTTCTCCGGCCATGCTGAGGCCGCATCCCACATACAGCAGCTAGAAGGATGTGCAGCTATGACACACAACTATCTACTGGGGCTTTGGGGGGAAAAAATAAATAAATAAAATCTTTAAAAAAAAAAAAAAAAAAACCACGAAATATAAATTTACCATATATCGAGCAATTCTACTCCTGCAGTTACCCGAGAAATTAAAATACATGTCCAAAGATCTGCATGTGAAAATTCATAACAGCATTCATAATAGCCAAAAAGTGGAATAGCAAGTCAATATGAACATGTGTACACGTGTGTGTATGTGGGCGCATGCACATGTATAAGCAAATCAACAAAGTGTTGCTCCTGCTATAACACGAATGAATCTCAAAAACACTACACTAAGTAAAAGAAGCCAGGCACATGTGCCCACACATTGTAAGATTCCATTAATATAAAATGTCCAGAAAATGCACATTTATACTAACAGAAAGTAGATTAGCAGTCATCTGGGGATGGGAACAGCAATTAACTTTAAATGGGCATATGGGTACAAGGGATCTTATTGGGGTGATGGAAATGTTTTAAAAGAGATTTATGGTGTTGGTGGTACAATTAATAAATCTATTAACAAATCAACACTTGAAAAGGATGAATTTTATCATGTGTACAATATGCCTCAATAAAGCTATTAAAAAAAAAGTCACGGGTACTTGAAAACACTCAAAAAAACACATGACTAAAAAGACGTTTTTATCTAAAAAGCTCTATAGCACTAAATGGAAAGAGATGCTTAAAAGTTCATAAAAGTCTGCAAAATTATTTTATCAGGCCTGTCCAAATTTAAGAAAACCCAAATACATTCATATAACCAAGTAAGCCTGGAGTTCACTCCTTAAATTTAAAAAATCTCACTAAGAAACATCATTATTAATGTATCTGGAATCTATTTCCTATAAATGGAAGATAGTTGGTTAAGTGCTCATTTGTAGGACAAATTTAAATGCTCACCTGAAAGAAATTTCATCAGCCACTTTCTCTTGAGAATCGTCCTCTGTGATCTCATACCGGCCTTTATAGTTCATTTCTAGTCTGTTCCCTAGTCTGTCTTTGATGGGTCGTTTCCGTTTAAGATGACCTTGCCCATTTTCCTCTTCCTTTGATCCCATTTTTTTGCCATCATGCATATATTCATCAAGTTCTTTGTCTAATTCTTTTGTATGTTCTTGAGATTCCCTCCTCAGTTTCTTAGCAAGCAAATAATTGTAGGTCTCGGATTGTCTGCTTTTGTCAATAGTGCCCTCCATTCCCAAGATACCAAGTTCAGTGGCCACTGCATCCTGGTTCTGCTCTTGCAGCACAGCACCCCATATATTGTTAACCTTCTTTCCTCCAGCAACAGGTGCTTTCTGGCTGCTCTGGCCAAACTGAAAAGGCTCTGGTTTGGGAGGAGGGTTGAAACATTTCTGTCGCTTGCGTTTCCAAAGAGAGCTATCATCATCTGAATCGGAAAAACTCTCTTCACTCGAATCCACACTTTTAACAGTCCGATAATGTGATACTGGAGCACACGCTGCTGTAGCATCCTGGAAGGGCCTCACTGCGCTGTCCCCACCTAGTGCTTTCTGCAAGTGAAAAGAAAGACAATTCCACAAACACATTAACTCCACCCACTGAGCGCTATTTAAAAACAATTATCTAGGGATTCAGCCGGATCATTCTGAAGCAGAACTGATCTTCAGAAATCTCTGAAACCAATCTAGTCCCTACTTTTCTGAAGTTCCACATGGAATTTGCCAATTTTAAAGCCACAAATTCTATTTTTTAAAATTATTTTATTGAGGTCACATTGGTTTATAACACTGTGTAAATTTTAGGTGTACATCATATTTCGGATTCTATATAGACTGCATCATGCTCACCACCAAAAGTCGAGTTTCCATCCGTCATCCTACATGTGCCCCTTTACCCCTTTGCTCTTCCCCATCTTCTTCCCCTCTGGCAATCACCAACCTGTTCTCCTCATCTATGTGTTTATCTTCCACAAGTGAAATCACATGGTATCTGTCTTTGTCTGACTTATTTCACTCAGCATAATACCCTCAAGGTCCACCCACGTCTCAAATAAAACCACAAATTCTTATTTCTATAGCTAATGCAGCACTTAGTTCTAAGGCCTCCTTCTAAAAAATTACCAAAGCTCTTAATTCTCACCTTTAGAAGATTTTCAATCTTTTCAGTTATTGTCAAAATGTTTGAAAATAACATACACAATAACTGTTACTAGCAGTTAAAACAGAATTTGTTTTCTTTTTTTCCAAAGATCCCTGTCTTGCATTTGGACACATCAACTTCATTTATTTGGTTTTGTGACTATACTCCTTATAAAACCCCTGACATATTACTTTTAAAACTGCAGAGGCCATGCCATTAAGTTTACCAAGTCATGGGTTAATCTGTGCAAAACAACCTGAAAGAGATTGAAAAACAAAACATCTTGGTACCAATTTCCTAAGACATTTATATGCAAAAGGAATCACCTTTGCTTTTTGTATTAAACCAAGTATTTACTGAGGTCCCATTTAAACTCCCATTTACAAAACTGGGAGGCTAATGCAAAACCTGGTGACGCCTTATCGCATAACGAAGCTAGGTTCGACGGGAATACGAAAGAGCAGGCCCCTGAGCAAGTGATGAACTTCACTCCCGGTCCTCAGTCTCCCTATCTGCCCAGGGCGAAAATGAGCGCCACAGGCTGTTTCGGGGCGATGTTCCCAGGTTCTACATTTTTGGCAAAATCTGCCCTTCCGGGACAACCTAGCGGCGCTGGAGTGGGGGACTCGGGTAGGTTCAGAAAACGAACAAGGGCGCGTGGAAGGCGGAGAAGAGCCGGCTGCACGCCGGCCTCCAGGAGGCCGCAAGGCTCGCGGGCCCCGCCTCGCCGCGGGACGCCGGGCCAGGCTCCG